AGTAAGTCTATATAGCTAGCGTAGACATAGAGAGAGAGGAATTCACGAACGATAAAGCAATAAAAAGGAGCTCCTTTTAAAAATTCTGAGTGAAATTCAGATAATTAAGAAATGATAAAGAATACCCAATTCCAAGAAGCAAAAAAATAGACAAAAGAACAAAACTTTCGCGGAGGAAAACGATTTGAAATGCGAATCGAGTTAGAGGAAGTGAAATGGAGAACCCCAATAAAAAAAAAAATTATTGAAAAATTGGAAAGCATAAATTCGAAGAATTGAAAGAAAATCATTATTACCGGATTCCCGGGGTGCCGATACGAATTCAATTAGATGATGAAATCCCCTTGAAGAGATGAATCTGCAAGTGTGAAGCGTCCGACGAAGGCAATGCCATGCGCTCCTGAGCCTCGTTCAATCTATCCTATCCTTTCGGTTCGCTGAAACAACAGGAGGACGAGAGAGGGAGGCGACTGGTGAGGGTTGGGTCGGGTTTCACCTTGGATGTTTGGGAAACCCGCATCCGGTTTCATTAGGGTTTGATTTGGATCGGTGATCAGACCAGGCCGAAGTCGGGCCTAAAATTTTCCTTTAGGACTGTTGAGCCCAAATCCCATGCCTCATTGGTATTTTTTTAGTAAAAAATCTGACCCAAATTGTACAGAAAAAAGAGAAAATACTGGCCTTTTCTTATTAAAAATGTTGAAACATTCAATTATAATTATTATCACATAAAATTCTGAAAATTTAAATTTTATATAATATAAGAGGAGATTACAAGTGAAATATTTTCCATTGAAATACACTGCGATGAGAATCAGCTGTCAGCATTTGGAGAAATGCACGTACTTTATGTACATGCGTAGGACCCAACAAATTCTATCCTCTGAGAATTCACTCGCCCATGCTTAATCCAAGGAAACAACACCGTCAACCGCTCCAACTATCTTGGGCGGGGGTGGCCGACCGTCATCCAAACAATAAACACCGCTCCTAAAACATGCTAGATTTCCTGTATTCGATTTCTTGTTCTTAAGATTCCACCGTAAAATTCAGACCTGTAAATGTTCATTCTAAGAATATTTGATAATTTGAACTGTTTTAAATTATTAAACAATTATCTTTAAATAAAAGGAAAGCTCAATATGCAAAACACAGGAACCTTAATTATTTATGTATTTGAATGTGACATTAATTAAAAACAAAGCCAAGTCCAACCCAATATCAAAATTCATGGTACCTGTGTGCTTAATTCCTGTTCACTCACAAAGGTGCCATGGAACCCATAAGGAACCCTACTGGGCAGCTTCACTGAACCCACTTGCTCCATGTTCGAACCTTCTATGATCACCAGCTCCGACTCTTCCCTTTCCTCGTCCCTCAGAAACCCCATTACATACCCTTCTCCCTCACTCTCCCTGTCGTAGAACTCCCTCTTTTTGGCCACGAAACATGGCTCGCCACCGAAACGGCCGGCACCGTACATGAACTTGGTCACCTCACCCGTCTCCAGATCCACCTTCGCAATGCCAGAGCACTTGGGCCACGGCTCTGCTATCGCTAAGTACACAAACTGGGTTTTCCGACCCAGCATTAGCTGGTTCACTTGACCCATCTCCAGATTCATCCCCGACACGATCACCCGCCGCGTCGACTCTCCCGTTCTCAGGTTCAACCTCATCTCCGACAATTCCGTTCGTATCGGAGAGCCCGTTTCGTTAAAAACGGAATCGGGAGGATTCATGCAAGAGCCGATCACCACAACAGTCTCATCCCCATTCTCCGAAACCTCCTCCCATGCATTCCACAGATGGAAACAGAAGCAATCCGGAACGTCGATCCATTGCATTCTCGATTCATCAAAATCACTTCTCCTCAAGATCCCAAACCGAGACATCTTGTCTTTATCGTATATCACAGGTGACCCGCCGGCCCAAACCATTTCGGATAACTTGAACACCATCTGATGATCCGGGATAACTACAAAATTCTCCGTTATGGCAAAATCATGGATCATGGTTGGTTGCTGGAGTGAGATGTGCATGTCACGTGACTTCCCTCCTGACGTGTCAAACCTCAGGTATCTTAAATATGGTTTTTTTAATACGTTGTAACTCAGTGTGTGGAGCTCACCTGTGATAGGGTCCACCTTCGGATGAGCAATCAACGGAAAATCAATTTGATTCTCAAAATTGAACCGTCCGATTGTTTCGAGATCGCCATCACCGTTGATTTTGACATGGTACGGAAGATCGTCTTCCGACATGGCTAACAAACGGCCATTGAAGTAAACCAGTCCCGCATTTGCCACTCCGGTGCCCAATGATCCGTCAAACAGCCCAACTCCGGCTCGAGCCATGAATAGAGCCAACCGAGCAAGACCTAAGTATCCGTGCAACTCGCCTATAGGCTTCACAAACACGACTCGGCCCAACTTAGCTTCTTGCACGAGCCGGTTTGTTCGAGTGTACCTACAACTATAACTGGCTTTATTCTCTGACCCTAAAGTAACGGCGTGAATCATGCCGTCACCATCAAACAAATGGTGCCTACCGGAGGGTGCAAACAGAGGATTACCTCCGTTTCGGACATAAACTCCCCGTAGACATTCCGGGATCGAGCCTGATACTTCTAACCCGTGTTGAACCGGACACTCCTGAACCGGAGCAAAGTTGCCCGATATTTGAACCATCGGGTCAACCGTTTTTGGCAATGGTTTTTTCTTCTCTAAAGGAATAAGCACTTCGGCTTCTATTTTGTCAAGAGCCGAGACAACCAACTTTTGAACCGGGCTTAAGTGAACCGGGAAGTTTGGCTGTCTTGGAATTGATACAGGTGGGGGCTTGGCCAGCAGTTCAACTGCCTCTGGCAACTGTGGTGGTGGTAGCGGAGACTGTGGCGATGGTATTAATGGGATTCTTATTTTCTTGGTTGGATCAATAAGAATTTTTCCGGTAAACCATGAAGTGGGAGTGAAGTTTTGTTTAGTGGTGGTAACCGGAGAGCAGTGAACGACGGAGAGTTTCATGGTAGGGGCAGTAGCAGTAGAGCTGATCAGGGTTGAGGAGGGGATTTTGAGTTTGTGTGAAGGGGGATTTATATTATAAAGTGAAATGCTTGTGCCACTAGTGGAGGAGAAGACATGAATAGGAGTTGAAGAAAGAAATGTATGAATTAAAATATGAATTACACATACAGTGATGCATACGGTTAATCACACAGACCACTATCATTTATGGATATAATGAGAGACCCTTTTTCTCAAACAAGGAATGAGTATTTTAATGTTCTTTGTTTTTGGTCAATGAGAACTTTTATTTTCTATTTTTGCTTTCTAGGGATTTTGAGGCTATTTCATGGGTTTGATGATATGCTATTTTTTTTATGGTTTTTCTATTATAGGCTAAAACAAAACTTTTGATTTGAGAGAATATTGTCGAAAGTATTTTCTTTCTCTGATTTAATTAACTTACATTTTAAATAAGGGTTATTTGATTTATTTTTTTATTTTAATAATTTTTTTTATTTTAATTCTACTATTATCTATGTAGTTTAATTATTTATCTTATCATAAATAAATATTTTATCTTTTTTTAAGGACAAATAAATAAATATATAAATTGTCTTCAGATATTTAATTTAGAGAAAAAAAATAAATATTATTTTGAGACAAAAAGTAATTAATTAACATGAAATTTCCCTACTTTAACACGTTTAGTTTCTTTTTTATATAGGTAAATAGAAATTGCCTTCATAATATAAATCTCTCATAGTCTATTTGGGCTAAGCAGAATAGAGAGAGAAAAAAAAAATTTTATTTTTTTCTTTTAATTTAGTTAATTATCTAAATAAAGGGAAAGAAGGTGAATGGAAGGATATAAATCCCCTTCCCTCCCCTCAATTTGTCTCGGTCCAAATATTGGGTTAGACAACTCACACAAAGTTGTTCGGCATAGCAATTTGAGGTAAAGTTAGTGGTTTTATCTAAGTCACTATAAAATAAGTGTTTGGTAAATTTAAAACTAAAGAATAGTAATTAGGCCCAAACTGTATCATTATCTCTTTACTAGTATATAAATTGTCCCAACATATTTTTAGCTTTTTACCATAGAAATGTAAATATTATACCTTCTCTACTTAGAATTACGTTTTAATTTTAGCCCAAGTCAAATGAACCAATTCCCAGCCCATATTTTTCTTTAAAGGCCTAAATCCTCCTTAATCACTAATTTCTCCAACTCTTATTCCTTATCTAGGCACACACTCCCGTTCTTTCTCCACCACTTTGCAACATTTATCATGCGCTTCCCCCTCTAAATCCCTAATTTCTCCAAATCTTCCCCCTTATTTCTCCACAACTCTTTGCCACACACACATCTCCCTCTATTTCTCCAAGTATTATAATAAACTTTGATAGATATTAACTTCTTCATTCTTATACACAAGCAAAACAACAACTTAGATATTAACTTAAATTATTAACTCGGTCGTGCAACATGCAACATGTTATCTTATTTTGTACTTTATTAATAAGAATAATAATAAATAGAACCAAAATTTTAAAAGAAAATTTAAGATTAATAACATAACATAAATCACATCATTTAAAATATTAAAAAGTTTATTTTTTTTAATTTTTTTAGAACCCATAATATTTTGTATATCAACTAATTTAACGACGTAATATAAATCATGTCATTGATCCTAAATTTTTATTCTAAATTTTTGTCCTCTCTATCATTACTCTTATAATATATTCTTACCTCTTGGTTTAAATTTGTCAAACATATAAACTTACAGAATTTCTTAAAGACAAACAAGAATTTTATAAGAATCACGAACAAAATTCAAAGCAATGTCGCTCATGCAACGGTGTAGAACCCAACAAACCGAGGGCATGGGCTGATTTTGGTTCGGTGTGAGTAGTGGGCCCTCTACAAATCCCCTGCCTGGGCTTAGGCCATCACATGGTCTCGCCTAATCCTCCACGGTAAATATAAATATCCCACGCATTCAATACTGCCATCTTCTTTCTTGATCTTCCCATTTCCTTCGTTTCTTCCTCACGAACTGCTTGATTTCCCGTTTAATTATCCTTCCGGAAGCAATGGAGAAAGCGATCAACCGGCAGCGTGTCCTGCTTCACCACCTCAACCCTTCCGCTGCTCTGAACTGTGACTCTTCCATCTCTGTAAGCTTTTATTGTTATCTCTCTTCTTCTTTTTTTTGGCTTTGATTCTTCAATACAGAACGGATCTGGATTTTCTTTCTTTTTCATGTTTAATTGTCGATCATTTGATTATGCCTACGCCTTCTCTGTTATTGAATTGATACTGGAGTCACTGACTCTGGATTTTGTGGAATTTCAACTCGGATTCTGATGATTCGCGTTGCTTCCTTAGTTGAAATCTCGAATACTATAGTCAAAAGAATGTTCTGGAGTTTCGGTTGAACTATTTTTGTTCATTTTTTTTCAAAAATAAATTGAATTTGACGTTGATCACCAGGTTTCCGCTTGTTTAGCTGGTGATAGCGCTGCGTACCAGAGGGCTTCTCTGTTTGGAGATGATGTGGTGATAGTGGCGTGAGTAGCTGATCGAATTTGTCAGCATGTTTGGTTTTTTTTTTAATTCATCATTCTGAATTCTTTGATATTCACTTTTTGCTTTGTTTCATGTTTTGCAGTGCTTATAGAACTGCCATTTGCAAATCTAAGCGAGGGGGCTTCAAGGATACTTATCCTGATGATTTACTTGCACCTGTTTTAAGAGTGCGTCTAACATCTATATTGTTTTCATTTTAATTTGTTAATCACGTCTGTAAATGGAGGACATATAGGACTTTTAAAAAAAAAAATCTTTTTTTTTTTCCTTAGTCCTTTGTCTTAATGATGGTGGTTGCAGGCATTGATAGAGAAGACTAACCTGAATCCAAGTGAAGTTGGAGATATTGTTGTGGGTACGGTATTGGCACCAGGATCTCAAAGAGCAAGGGAATGTAGGATGGCTGCATTCTATGCTGGTTTTCCTGGTATGTGTGTTTGGGTGCATGTTTTCTAAGGATATTGATTCTTTTGCTGTTTTCCTGCTTATATTTTACTAAACTTTGTTATGATACAGAAACCGTGTCTGTCAGAACTGTTAACAGACAGTGTTCATCTGGGCTTCAGGCAGTTGCTGATGTAGCTGCTGCTATTAAAGCAGGGTTTTATGAAATTGGTAAGGGCAACTTGGTTTTGAGAATTTCTCAGCATAATGTAGCTTGAAAAGTGTTACTTCTTCTTATTATAATATGTATTTCAAATATAGGTATTGGGGCTGGGTTGGAATCTATGACCACTAATCCGATGGCTTGGGAGGGATCAGTCAATCCAAGAGTATTCTATCTATCTTTTTTTTTTTTTGTCCAAAAGGTCAGGGAAAATGGGGTTAGTATAAGATTTTGACATGATCTTCTGCTGATTACGACAGGTAGAAAGCATGGAACATGCACAGAATTGCCTGCTTCCTATGGGAATTACTTCTGAGAATGTTGCACATCGTTTTAGTGTGACCAGGCAGGAGCAGGATCAGGCTGCTGTGAGTTGAATAACTCTGTAATATATATGGTTCTGTAACTGTATATGTGTTTTGATTTGCTTAAATTTATGTCTATAGGTTGAGTCTCACAGGAAAGCAGCTGCTGCTACTGCTTCTGGTAAATTTAAGGATGAAATTATACCTGTCAACACCAAGGTATCAACTGGATCATTGCATGTTAGCAATATAATAATATTTTTCTTGACAACCCTTTTTTGCACTGATTGTGAAAAGTGCATTTTCCATTCATATTGGGTTTCTGATATAAATTTCATACATGTAGATTGTTGACCCAAAAACTGGGGATGAGAAACCTGTCACTATTACTGTTGATGATGGGTTTCGTCCAAATGCTTCATTGTCAGATCTGTCAAAGTTGAAGCCTGTGTTTAAGAAGGATGGGAGCACTACTGCTGGTATTGACTTATACAGCATACTTCTGTTGGTGAGGTGAAAGGATCTATTCATTTTAGTCTGTGTGATTGTATTGTGCTGTTATTGTAGGAAATTCTAGCCAAGTGAGTGATGGAGCTGGGGCTGTTCTGCTTATGAAGAGAAGTGTTGCCATGCAAAAAGGGTTACCCATCCTCGGTGTATTTAGGTATATGACACCTGGCTGTGAATCCTTCTAATAACGCCACGTAAAAATAAGAACAAATTACTTGACTTACTTTTGAAATTCTGTTTCTTTCTATCTTGACATGTGTTTGAGTTCTTTAGTTTCATGATTTGCTTCAAAATTTGGACAGATAATAAAAATTTGTGAAGGACGTAAGCTTAGGCTTGAGCTTCAATTTTCTTCTTTGATATGGCGTCTGATGATAATAAATTATCTATGGCTTTCAGTTTCTCAAACATATCCATAGGGGGTATTTGGTTTAAATTTCTTCAGTTTTGAATCTCAATAGCAATCATGCATGCATGTGGGATAAGAACCCTTTGTCTGATCTTAAAACTGAAAGAATTGGGGACTCTTTGTAGTTACATTTAAAAAAAAAAAAAACTGTTCTATATTGAATTGACATGATTATTAATGGTCCCCTAAACTACCACTCTCTGATTTATTGTTCAAGGAATTTCAAAATAAAACATTCCTGGCCATTTTATATATAAGAATTATTCCTTGTATCAGTGATGCCATTATTGGTATTTCCTCAAAATGATTAGGTGTTAAACTTTCAGATTTTTCCCTCAGCCTTGTGTTGTCAATTGCCACTTTTGCTGCTTTCTAATATATAAATTTACTATTCCATCTTCCAGGACTTTTGCTGCAGTTGGTGTGGATCCTGCCATCATGGGTGTTGGCCCAGCTGTTGCAATACCAGCTGCAATTAAAGCTGCAGGTCTAGAAATTGAGGATATTGATCTTTTTGAGATAAATGAGGTATTTTTTTATTTCGTCATCATTTTACTGACCAGTTTGTTTGAGATGAGTTTCAACAGATTTGATTACTCAAAACTTTATTGTTCCCTACAGGCATTTGCATCTCAGTTTGTATATTGTCGTAAGAAGCTGGATCTTGATCCTGAGAAGATCAATGTCAATGGAGGTGCAATGGCAATTGGGCATCCTTTGGGTGCAACAGGTATTTATTCATGCCACAAAGTCAATAATGAGTTTCGTTGTTTCTACTGTCACTTATCCAAATCGAAAGAGGGCATGTCTTACTTCATTCAAATTGGTGTGGAGTTGAGTTGGTTTGGGGAGTAGAGAGAGTAAGGGGCAGAGCTGTCTACTTGATAAACAGAGACTTGTCTACTTTCAGTGGTTCCACATAGGCAGAAGGTTTAGGCTTGATTATGGTGGGTAGGAATGGACAATGTCAAATGATCTGGGTTTCATGGTACCCAGTTATCTCAAGGTGGGTTTATATGACATACTGCCTGAATAGATGGTGCTCTTCATAATCACAACTTTAATCTAAGTCAGATCTGAGTACATGATTGTCAGATTTAGCTCGTTGCTAATCATTATGTGATTAGCAGCCTGGTTCTCTTGTCTGTTTTTCCATGGTTCTCTTATCTGTTTTTCCATGCACATTGAAGTAAAATAAGGAATGATATGACATAGTATCCTTCTCGTTTTCTGTTGCAGGTGCTCGCTGTGTTGCCACACTCTTGCATGAGATGAAGCGGCGTGGGAAAGATTGCCGCTTTGGAGTGGTGTCAATGTGCATAGGTATACTCTTGCCCCTTTCCCCTTTTGTTTCATCTCCCTTATTCTTTGTACTTCTGAATAACATGCTGACTTGGGTTTTATTGCTGAAATGCAGGCACAGGAATGGGTGCAGCAGCTGTTTTTGAACGGGGTGACTGTGTTGATGAGCTCTGCAATGCTCGGAAAGTTGAAACCGACAATCTCTTATCCAAGCATACTTGGTAGAAGATAGAAGTTCCGGTATCTTCCACAATTCCCTAGCAACATGATAAACTGGGTTGAAATTCTAATAAAGGATTTATACTATGTTATCTGTTCTCAATTTTTTGTCCTATTTGTCCTGTTTATCATTTTTCATATCAATAAACAATTTCTCTAAAAGTAAAAGCAGAAGGAACCATCTTTCAAGTCTAATGATTCGTCCTCAACCTACAGTGTTTGGGTTTAATTAATTAAGAATTTAAGTTCTACCATCAACTTGAAAATAAATTCCTCATTTTTCAAAATTCTCTCATGTTCAGAACAAAAAAAAAAAGAAAGCACAAGGAAAAAAATCCTAAAGGGTTGGCGAAAACAGTGAAAAGATATTAATTGCAGTGAAAACACTCTAAATACAATTAATAAAATCTATTGGCAAAGTCGCCCACGAACCAGGCTTTTGATGGGAAAAAGTTTGGTGACAATTGGATTCAATTCGTTGTTCTCAACTAAAAATGGAAAAATAAGGGCAGCAATGCAAGCATCATGCTTTCCAAACAATCTTCTGACGGCTTACCCTTCTGATGAAATGGTGAAGATCGTCATCCTGAATCGCCATTCAGGGTTCAAGCCCTGTCAGTCTATTGGCGAGAGAAGAGGGGCTTCAATTTGTTATTCTACAATCAGCCACCCAGGTTGTTGGCCTAGTGGCATGGTTCAAAATTTATGCGGTATCTCCAGGATGGCAGAAGACATCTTAAAGAGAAATTTCCATGATAAAGGTAAATCCCAAAAATGAATGCTTTTTCCTGCCTGGAAATAGCAGCAGTTTCTTCAGAACCTGAATGAAACTAAGATTGCTGCTGCCAATGCACAAAGTTCTGCAACAAAATTCTTCAGAAGCCAATTGCAGAAACATGGCTATCTTTAATAGAGATCATTTATTTATCTGTTTGCACTTCACTGAATAAGGTCAGAGAACTGGAATCCCTGGTGCCATTCAAGTTATTGATAACTTGCAAACTGGGCATGATGTTTTCCTGCTGAGCCATTGATCAATGCACTGTCACGTACAGATGAAAAACATCAAATCTTTGTTAGTTAATATGATAAAATGAGTAATAGAAAAACAAAGAAAATAACAAAGGGAAGCTACATCTTTGTGAAACTTGTGTAAGCAAGGAAGATGACGTATGGTTTCTCCAGCAACTGGGGTTTCAAGACAAATAGCACAAGCTTCTTCAAAATTATTAGTCTGCATAACAAAGAAAATCAGAAAGTAAAAATAATTAGCAAATGAATCAAAACACCCAACTCACCTATTTCTTCTCAAGGAGGAAACTTCGAAAAAGTTATTTAGATTGTTTTGCTCTCTTTATGCAGACATGTACCTGCACTACTGATTGTGGCAAACTATTTATCTGGTGAACAGATGCACCACCATGTTGATGATTGTTCTGATCTAGTGCCAATAACATTTCATAATCATTTCTGCCAAAAAAAAAGGAAAAAGGAAGCAAGAAAACTTGACATTTATTTCCACAGTATATGAAGAGATTGGTAGAATGAGATGCTAAAAGAATAGAAAACAATAAGGTAGATTATAGAAATAACAAAACTATGTGAAGATCTCATGTAGGTGTAAAAATATTGCCTAATCTGGCAAATACAAAATAATATCCTCTTTTATTTCAATACCTTAATTTATATTTAACATAACTGTCACAGAAGCAGCTCCAATTCAGATCTGCATACAGTCACGGTCCAGATATTCAAAGACACTTCACAACTCCAAAGTTATAGCATAGTTGTTTTCCTTTGGGGCATGAGTCAGTGCATAAGGTTATTTTAAGTGTGAACCCACTTAGTCAAATTTCTTCCTCTCATCTTATTCAAAATCTCTAGGAACTCCTTTTTGGTGCTCCGGCTCCTCCATATGTATACTTTTTGGTTCATTTTCTAATTCACTTCACTTCTGAGAGCTTGATTTACTTTATCCAGTCTTACTTGTATCATCTTGCGTTTCCAAACCAATAATGTAGAAATCATATTTAACAGTCTAAGAAATTTATCATTGCACAGAGAAAAAAAAAAAAAGCCCTTCCTAAATCTATATTAAAATCAGTTAAATGAATCAACAAAAAAGGGGGTTTGACTGACAATTTAGAATAAAACTTACTCATTAAAATCCCGCTGAGCATGAAAGATGCTGGCAAGTGGTCCTATATCAGCAAGATCAGCATCTGCAGCCTCCAAGGCTTCCAGTATATCAAGTCTCTGCATCAGAAAGAAAGAAATAAAGAAACCACTTTTCAGTTTATATTCACCCTATGCATGAACATAACAACCTCATACCAATTGATTAATACCAATAAAATTCAAATATATGTTCAAATTGCAAACAATTACACTGAGTCCATAAAGGAAAAGTCAGAAGATGGGAAATGAAAAAAAACACAAGAAAAAACTGAAAGGTGGGGATTACCATATCTAATTCCATGCCCAAAGGAAACTCGAAATTCCTGGTCCTGGATGGTGGTGCTGCACGAGTTCTGTTTAGAAATTGGGTCACCAAACGTGACATCTGAGGAGTAGGGAGTCGAGGCTGGCTTCTTCTCCTGGTTGAAGAGTTCAGGGAAGATCTCAACTGGGGCTGTCTAAGAGAGTGCCTTGTACTTCTCTACACAAGATGCAAAAGGAAAAATTTAAGGAAGAACATAGAGAACACATGCCTATCAGGCTAGTATGCTTTTTGGCGACTAAATAATCAACAGCCAACACTATGTTGTGCACTCAGGGGCGATTCTTTTAAAAAATTCTTATTCCCATATTCAACTTAAAGTTTGCTCTATCATCTCCTCCAGTTAATGAGTATCCCATCAAAGAGTATTCATGATGCTACTAGCAAGGCTCTACTAGCCCAGTTTGCCTGTTTGGGACCATAGAAGAGCTGCATTGTACCTCTTTACATGTATCAGGTGTGAATATAAATCTTAAAACTTTAAATTACAAGGATGATAATCGCAATAATGGTACTAATAAATGATCTGTTCACGAGCACCCAACGAAGAGGCTTGACCATGTTGATTTTGGCTCATTTGCCAAAGTAAATCAAATAATGATAATCATGAGAAACAAAAATATGGTAGAGTTTTTAATTTTTATAAGTAAATTGGATTGTCTATAGCCGTATTCACTGTCCCTGCTGGGATGCAAGGCACGGTAAGACCCTAACTTCTGAACTTTGACAAGAATTATTTGTGCCTCCAGTATACTACTATTTGAACATGTTAAAACATTAAACACAAAATAGCATCTACATTGACCCTTTAAGACCAAAAGAATAACAGTGCACAATGAACTGCAGGCACTTAATGCCACTTATCAGGTTACTTGAAAACTGAAGAAAAGAATAAGGAGGCTCACTTACAGGATTGGAAACATCGTGATTTTGGAAAGTT